TGCGGCCCGCTGCGGCTGCCGCTGCTGTAGTTCTGCTGCTCTGAGCCCAACTGCCACCGCTGCTGCTGCCGCTGCTGCTGCTGCTGCTGCTGCCGCTGCTGCTGCTGCTGCTGCTGCTGCTGCTGCTGCTGCTGCTGCTGCTGCTGCAGGCAAGACAATGCTGGCGAAGGCAGTGGCGAACAACACAAAGGCAACTTTCATTCGAGTTGTTGGCAGCGAATTTGTGCAGAAGTATTTGGGCGAGGGACCCAGGATGGTCCGAGATGTCTTCAGACTGGTTAGCTGCTGCTGCTGCTGCTGCTGCTGCTGCTGCTGCTGCTGCTGCTGCTGACGCTGATGCTGAGGACCCAGGACGGTCCGGGATGGGTTCAGGCTGGTCAGCTGCTGCTGCTGCTGCTAATCCTGCTGCTGGTTATGCTGCTGCTGGTGATGGTGGGGATCCAGGATGGCCAGCTGCTGCTGCTGGCGCTGCTGCTGCTGCTGCTGCCACCGCTGCTGCTGTTGCTGAAACTGTTGCTGCTGCTGCTGGCGATGGCGGCGATGCTAATGCTGATGCTGCTGCTGCTAACAATGGAGGGTTCTCAGATTGGTGTGCTGTTGCTGCTGCTGCACTTTCCTCTGTAGCTGCAGCAACAACACTAGCAGCAGCAGCAGCAGCAGCAGCAGCAGCAGCAGCAGCAGCAGCAGCAGCCAGTGCGTCTCTGTGATTCTGCAGGCTCGCGAGCACTCCCCCGCCATTGTCTTTATAGACGAAGTTGACGCCATTGCCACCAAGTGATCTAAACCCTAAACCCTAAACCCTAAACCCTAAACCCTAGCCAGTTGTCTCAAACGCCAAACCCTTGAACTGCAAGTTCTGAGCGCTGCAGCAGCACAGAAGGTAGAAGGCAGCAACTAGAAGCAGCAGCAACGGCAGCAGCAGCAACAGCCACAGGAAGCATAGCAGCAACAGCAGCAGCAGCAGCAGCAGCAGCAGCAGCAGCAGCAGCACCAGTAGCACGATCAGTTATATGAGCAGCAAAAGATGTGACTTGGCCTCAGTGTCAGTGTAGACTGCCGCCGTTATTCTGCTTCTTCTTTTTCTGCTGCTGCTGCTGCTGCTGCTGCTGCTGCTGCTGCTGCTGCTGCTGCTGCTGCTGCTTGCAGGCGTTTTGATGCCCAGACTGGAGCCGACAGAGAAGTGCAGCGAATTTTGCTGGAGCTGTTAAACCAAATGGACGGATTTGATCAAACTTCAACTGTCAAGGTAAACCCTAAACCCTAAAGCCTAAACCCTAAACCCTAAACCCTAACTCTGAGTGTGGAGGCCATCAACGGGCGGGGCTGTTCTGCAGCCGGGGAAGGGGCTCTCCGGGGCTACGCTGCTGTAGCAGCTGCTGCAGCAGCAGCTGCAGCAGCGGCTGCTGGTGCAGCAGCAGCAGCAGCTGCAGCAGAACCAGCTGCAGCAGCAGCAAGATGAGAAGTTTGGGGTTTCAGTCTTTTGAGCTTCCATGGATGAGCTGGTTATTTCGAATGAAATAAAATAATGAAAGTCATTTTATTTTGATTTATTTTATTTATTTATTATTTATTTATTGCCATCACTTTTCATTTATTTATTTATTTGTAAATTAAAACAAACAAATAAATCAAATGAAATGAACTTGAATTAAAACTGGACTCAAGTGGACTTGTTGGTGTTCGTGAAGGTCGAAATGGCGGCTCGAATCATGTGTGAAAATGCGCAAATTTTGGCGGTTTAAAGCGGATTAAAAAGAACAAAACTAAAATAAATAAAATAAATAAAATAAAATAAATAAAATAAATAAAATAAATAAAATAAAATGGATTAAAAGTGGATTTAAAATGGTCCAGTGGTTCCGCGTGCGCGGCGGCGCGGAGCTGCGCAGACACCCGAGAGGCCCGCGGGTGGAAGTCTGAACTGCAGCCGATCTGGCCCATTTTCGCGGGCAAAAAGCTGCAAAATGGAGCAAAATGAGTGGAAAAGAACAAAAGAAACGAAACGAGCGGTTTTGTGTTGGCTATGAAGGTCATTATGGCGACGAATCGCGCAGATACTCTGGACCCCGCGCTGCTGCGGCCCGGGCGACTTGACCGCAAAATCGAGTTTCCACTCCCCGATAGACGCCAAAGAAGACTTATTTTGCAAACAATAACTGCAAAAATGAACATTTCGCCAGAAGTTGACCTAGAAGACTGTAAACCCTAAACCCTAAACCCTAAACCCTAGACTGCGGCCCGACACCCTAGACTGCGGACCCCGAGCCCGAAACCCTCAACCCTCGCATGCGCCTTTTTCTTCCTTTACACTTCTTCTATTTGTATTTTTATTTATTTATTTATTTATTTATTTATTATTAATTAATTAATTTATTTATTTATTTATTTTATTTGTCTTTTTAATTTGTTTCCGTAGTCATCTCGAGGCCAGAAAAAGTATCTGCTGCTGATATTGCTGCCATCTGCCAAGAAGCCGGCATGCAGGCAGTCAGGAAAAACAGGTAAGCTTGCTGCTGCTGCTGCTGCTGCTGCTGCGCCTGCAGCAGCAGCTGCTGTTGCTGCTGCTGCTGCTGCTGGCGCCTGTGCAACAGCTGCTGCTGCTGCTGCTACTTCCGCTTCTGCTGCTGCTTGCAGTGCGGGAGGGTGCGGTGCTGTCAAGTCTGGCTCTGCTGCTACTGTTGCTGCTGCTGCTTCTGCTTTTACTGCTGCTGTTGTTGTTGCTGCTGCTGCTGCTGCTGCTGCTGCTAAGTGCCTGTGGCTCTTGTGGCTGCTGCTGTTTGCTGCAGATATGTGGTGCTGGCGAAGGACTTTGAAAAGGGCTGGAAGGCTCATGTGCGCAAACACGAAAGAGACTTCGAGTTCTACTCAGTCTAGCTGCTGCTGCTGCTGCTGCTGCTGCTGCTGCTGCTGCAGTTGTTTCTGCAGCAGCAGCTGCTGCTGCAGCTGCTGCTGCGGTTGCTGCAGCTGCAGTTGTCGCTGGCCTGCAGCAGCTGCAGCAGTTGCTGCTTATGCAGCTGCGGCTGCTGCAGTTGCTGATGCCTCACGTGCAGCTGCTGCAGTAGCAGCTGCTGCAGTAGCAGCTGCTGCAGTAGCAGCTGCAGCAGCTGCTGCTGCTGAAGCTGCTGCTGCAGGCACTACCCCAGCAGCAACGGCGAAAAGAACTAGCTGCTGCAGCAGCAGCTCCTGCTGCTTCTGCAATCCATTCAGTAGCTGCAAACGTAGCAGCGCGTGCTGCTGCAACAGCAGCAGCTGCCAGTGCTGCTGCTACTGCTGCAGCAGCAGCGCAGGAACAGCAGCAGCTTTCGCTGCTGCTGCTGCTGCTGCTGCTGCATTAGCGGACGTTTTGCATTTGCTGCTGATAAAAGAACAAAAAAATAAATGCAAATCAAAAATGAAGCAGCAGCAGCAAAAGGGAGCGCTTGAAGGCTTTTAAATAAATAATTTAAATAGTATTTTGAAGTTAATTTAAAAATAATTTAAATTTAATTTAAAAATAATTAAAAAGAATTCAGAAATAATCCAAAGAGAATTCTAAAGTAAACAAGTAAGAAAAAGATTATTTAAATGTGTTTTCAAATCGTCTTTCTTTGATTATTATTGTTCTTTTTATTTTGAAGTTTTTTATTTTTCTTTTTGTTCATTTATAATTATATTTATTATATTTATTATTGCATTTATACTTTAATTTATTTTCATTAACTAGTACATGAAACGGCTATTTGTGCAAATTCATATGCCAGTTAGTGAACATAATAAGTAACGGAATTTTGTGCATTTTCCACCAATTTTGAACGTTTTTACATTTTTAAAAAGTGTATATATAAATTAAAATAAATAAATTCATATTTCTCGTCTTTAAAATGAAAAAAACGGAAGAGATCTGCAGAAAATGCAAGTTTGAAGAGTGCCTTTCGCAGCACTCGTCTTGCTGCAGATCTTTCGATTTTGTCTTTTTTTCGCGTGTTTGAGTTCGTTTTTTCTTTCTTAATGCAACTAAAACGCTTTTTAAGTTCAAAAATGTTTTTTTAGTTTCGAAAATCGGAAAAAATTGGGCAAAAAGGTGTTTATTTGAACTTTCTGTTGTTTGTGACGCACACCATTTCTAGCAGCAGAGGCAGTCGAGGCGGCCCCGTTCTTCGCCGCAGCAGCAAAGAAATAAGCCTTTAAATGGATCTGAAGTGTTTTAATATTTGGATTTGTTTATTTGCAAATGAAATAAACAAAAAATAAACAAAAAAGGGGAATTAAAACTGCGAAGGGCGCGAACGGCGCCGCCGTGCATGCACAAGAAGCCCCGAGGCGCAGGGTGTGCAGCGGGCAGCAGCGGGCGGCAGCAGCAGCAGCAGCAGCAGCAGCAAACGGGTTTAATTTTAAAAGTTAAAGCGAATAAAGGAAAAAGGAATAAATTAAAAAGGTCTATTTGATGCAATAAAGGGAAAAACGCGCAGAGCTGCAGCAGATCTGCACACGGGGCGTGCAGGGCGCAGACGCGTTCCCCGCGAGAACTGGGGTGTACAGACAGCTCGTAGCTTCAAATTCGAACAGCCCTTTTCGAATTTGAAAAGTCATTTTAATTATATTTGCAGTTTCGAATTTAAAAAGGAGAAAAAGGCAGCAGTGGGGCGCGCGGCTAGTTCGTCTCGGGAGGCGAGCGGTGCGGCTCTGCGGCTCTCCGCAGCAAATGCGTATTTGTTTCGAGTTTAAAACGCGAAATAAATGCAAAATAAACTTTATTAAAGCATTTAATTTGCAAAAAGAAGAACTTTGAGGGTTTTTAGTTCGAGTTTGAAGCGCCCTTGGGGGCGGCGACGTGAGCGGCTCGCGGCACTCCGCGCTGTGCTGCTGCTGCTGCTGCCGCCGCTGCAGCAGCAGCGTGCTGCTGCTGCTGCTGCTGCTGCTGCCTGTCCCTTATTTGCTGCCTTCTTTGTCTTTTTGTCTCTTTTTGAATTCATTTTCTTCCATTTTAACTCCTCAGCACGATGGTCTGTCCCCGCGCGGCTTCTGCTGCGCTGCTTGTCTCCTGCGCTGCAGCAGCAGCAGCTCCGCTGCTGCTGCCCGCTGCTGCTGCTGCTGCTGCTGCTGCTGCTGACGCCCCCCCGCCCGCCAGCTTCAGGGGCCCCCCCTCAGGGGCCCCCAGAGCCCGCAGGGACCCTGCAGAGGCCCAGGCAGAAGCAGCAGCAGCAGCAGCAGTGCTGGCAGCAGAAGCTTACATTCAAGAGCTGCTGGAGCTCAGTGGCCTCAGTGATCTGCTGGACTTGGGGCCTGCTCCTGCTGCTGCAGCACACTGATGAGCAGCAGCAGCAAGAGGAGCAGCGGCGGCAGCAGCAGCGCAGGCAGCAGCGCAGGCAGCAGCAGCTGCTGCTGCAGCTGGCGGAGGAGGAAGAGCACCATGGAGAGGTCCAGCTAAGAGAAGACGAGGTGCAGCAGCAGCAGCAGCAGCTGCTGCAGCAGCAGCAGGAAGAGGAGCAGGAGCTGCAGCAGCAGGAAGAGGAGCTGCTGCAGCAGGAAGAGGAGCTGCAGCAGCAGCAGGAAGAGGAGCTGCAGCAGCTGGAAGAGGAGCTGCAGCAGCTGGGAGAGTTGCTGCAGCAGCAGGAAGAGGAGCCGCAGCAGCAGGAAGAGGAGCCGCAGCAGCAGGAAGAGGAGTTGCAGCAGCAGGAAGAGGAGCTGCAGCAGCAGGAAGAGGAGCTGCAGCAAGAGGAGTTGCAGCAGCAGGAAGAGAAGCTGCAGCAGCAGGATGAGGAGCAGCAGCAGCAGGACGAGGAGCAGCAGCAGCAGGACGAGGAGCAGCAGCAGCAGGACGACGAGCAGCAGCAGCAGGACGAGGAGCAGCAGCAGGAGCAGCAACTGCCAGCGCCGCAAGAGCAGCAGGAGCAGCAGCAGGAGGAAATGGAGCAGCAGAACCAGCTGCAGCAGCAGCAGACGCAGCAGCAGCAGCGCCAGCAAGAGGAGGAGGAAGGCAAGCAAGAGCAGCAGCAGCAGCAGCAGCAGCAGCAGCAGCAGCAGCAGCAGCAGCAGGCCAGCGAAGCACACAGTGACAGCGTGGCAGCAGCAGAGCCAAAATCAGCAGCAGCAGGGGAGACAGAGTCGGAGACAGCTAAGGAAGCAGCAGCAGCAGCAGCAGCAGCAGCAGCAGCAGCAGCAGCAGAGCAGGAGCCAGAAAGAAGGCCCACAGTTAGGGGGCTTTTTAGAAAGTTGAAGCAGGGTCTCAGGTCTGGTATGGAGATGATGAAGCAAAAGGTTCAGTAAACCCTAAACCCTAAACCCTAAACCCTAAACCCTCAGCGGGGGTGGCGGGGTGGGGGCGCAGCCCGTGCTGCTGCTGCTGCTGCTGCTGCTGCTGCAGCAGCAGCAGCAGCAGCAGGCGAAAGAGACAAATGATGAAAGTGCTCAATTATTATAAATGAAGAATTGGAAGAATGGATGAATTAAAGAACAAATGAAGAAAATAAAAAAACTCCAATGCGAGGGACCCACAGCAACCCTAAACCCTAAACCCTAAACCCTAAACCCTAGAAGGAGGTTTGAAGGCGCGCTGCTGCTGCTGCAACTCAGGGGGGCCTCAAATGCAAGGTGGACAAAATAAAAGCAAAGTGTGAAGTGCATTTATGAAATGCAGTCGAAAGTGCGGAAATAAATAAATAAATAAATAAATAAATAAATACATAAATAAATAAATAAATAAATGAATAAATGAATAAATAAACAAACAAATGAATAAATAAATGAATGAATAGATCTTGGAGCTGCAGATACACCTGAACGCACGTACACCCGGCTGGGGTGTACGCGCAGCTGCCTGTACACCTGAAAGTGGGCGCGAAAAAAAGGGAAAAGGCGCTTTTGCATCAAAACAAAAGATTAAATGCAGAAAAAAAAGAAAATAAACAATAAAAAACAATAATAAATGAATTTAATTGCCAAAAAAGGGCATTTAAACGGAAAAAACCCGAGAAAATGCAAAGCTGAATCCAACAATTTCTGCAGTGGCCCGATGGTGCGCAAAGTTGCATGCAGTTGCATGCATTCAAGAACTCTTTGCATGCATTTATTTCTTCTTTTAATTCCATTTATTTATTTATTTATTTATTTATTTATTTATTCTTTTTGCGCTTTATTTTTGCGGCATTCCACCTGCAGTATATATATATGTAGATTTGGATGTATATATATATTATATATGTCTTGGGCCCTAATTATAAATATAAATGTAAATATATATAAAGACAAATGGACAAATTGAAAAACAAATAAATAATTATCTGTGCTTCTGTGTTAACTCGCCAGCTGCAGCAGCAGCAGCAGGTGCAGCAGCAGCAGCAGCAGTTGCCGCAGTCGCAGCGGGTCGTCCAGCGGCTGCTGCGCTACAGAAGCAGCAGCAGCAACAGGAGCAGCGCCAGCAGCAGCAGCTGCTGCTGCTGCTCTTCCCTTATTTTTGCTTCCTATCTCTCTTCTGATACATCTTCTTCTTTTCTATTTGCTCCTGTCCCTCCTAGTTCGAGGGTTTAGGGTTTAGGGTTTAGGGTTTAGGGTTTTGACTGCAGCAGCGGAATGGGAAGAGCTGCTGCAGCGGGGAGTAGACGAGGGTTTAGGGTTTAGGGTTTATTAGGGTTTAGGGTTTTGGAGTGCAGCAGCTTGTATCCAGAGTCCGGCCGCAAGCAGCAGCAGAACTACCGGCAGCAGCAGCAGCAGCAGCAACTGCAGGCACAGTAGCAGCAGCAGCAGCTGCAGCAGCAACTGTAGACACAGCAGCAGCAGCAGCAGCTGCAGCAGCAACTGCAGACACAGCAGCAGTAGCTGCGGACGCAGCAGCAACTTGCCGCAGTAGCAGCAGCGGCAGGTGCTGCAGCGGAAGCAGCAGGCGGAGCAACAGCAATTGCAAAAGCAGCAGCAGAAGCAGCAGGAGCTGCTGCAGTAGCAGCAGGAGCTGCTGCAGTAGCAGCAGGAGCTGCTGCAGTAGCAGCAGGAGCTGCTGCAGTAGCAGTAGCAGCTGCTGCAGTAGCAGTAGCAGCTGCTGCAGTAGCAGTAGCAGCTGCTGCAGTAGCACCAGCAGTGGGAGCAGCAGCAGCAGTTTGTGCAGCAGCAACAGCAGCAGCAGCAGTTGCTGCAGCAGCAGTTGCTGCAGCAGCAGTAGCAGCTGCTGCAGTAGCAGTAGCAGCTGCTGCAGCAGCACCAGCAGTGGGAGCAGCAGCAGCAGTTTGTGCAGCAGCAACAGCAGCAGCAGCAGTTGCTACAGCAGCAGTTGCTGCAGCAGCAGTAGCAGCTGCTGCAGTAGTCAGTAGCAGGTGCTGCAGCAGCACCAGCAGTGGGAGCAGCAGCAGCAGTTTGTGCAGCAGCAACAGCAGCAGCAGCAGTTGCTGCAGCAGCAGTTGCTGCAGCAGCAGTAGCAGCAGCAGCAACAGCAGCAGCAACAGTTGCTGCAGCAGCAGTTGCTGCAGCAGCAGTAGCAGCAGCAGCAACAGCAAGAGCAGCAGTTGCTGCAGCAGCAGTTGCTGCAGCAGCAGTTACTGCAGCAGCAAAAGCAGCAGCAGCAGTTGCTGCAGTAGCAGTAGCAGCAGCAGCAGTTGCTGCAGCAGGAGCAGCAGCAACAGTTGCTGCAGCAGGAGCAGCAGCAACAGTTGCTGCAGTAAGAGTTCCAGCAGCAGCTGCTGCTGCTGCTGCAGCAGCGCTGCCTATTAATCCAGCCAGAACAAAATGAATTAAAGCAAATATAATTAATATTAATATATTTTTTAATTTAAAAAATTAAATTTATATATTTTTATTTTTATATATTCTTCACTGGGGCCCCTGGGGGCCCCCAGGGGGCCCCCAGGGGCCCCCAGGGGCCCCCAGGGGGGCCCCAGGGGGCCCCCCAAGCCCTGCTGTGGCTTGGGGGCCCCCCAATGCTTTAAAAATATAAATCTTTTGTTTAATTTAAAATTAAATTTAAAATTAAATTAAAAATTAAATTAAATTAAATTTAAATATTTTAAATGCTGTTTTTTGCTGCTTTAAATGCTGCCTAGGATCCTCCGGAGGCAGCTGCTCAGCTTCCGCTGCAGCAAGAGCTGCTGCAGCAGCTACAGCAGCAGCAGCAGCAGCAGCAGCAGCAGCAGCAGCAGCAGCAAGCTGCTGCTGGGGCGGCGCGCTCTTAGCACGGGGCCCCCTGAGCAGCCCTGTCCTGCTTCCAGGGGCCCCCCAGGGGCCCTGCGGGTGGCCCCTGCTGCAGCAGAAGCAGCAGCAGCAGCAGCAGCAGCAGAAGACAACGCTCCTGCTGCAGCAGCAGCAGCAGCAGATGAAGATGCTCCTGCTGCAGCAGCAGCAGCTGCAGCAGCAGCAGCAGCAGCAGGGGACTGGGGAGACATTACTGACGATCCCGACGATCCCCTTTTCTCCGCTTGCGAGATCCCAGGGCCCGCCCACGCTGCTCTCTGGCTGGGCAGCAGCAGCAGCATCAGCAGCAGCAGCAGCAGCAGCAGCAGCAGCAGCAGCAGCAGCACAAGGGATTTGCCGGATTTTGAATGTGAAGGAGACGGCGACAGCGCGGCTGCAGTGTCGCCGCTGCTGAGCCGGCACGCAGCAGCAGGGACAGCAGCAGCAGCAGGAACAGCAGCAGCAGCAGCAGCAGCAGCAGCAGCAGCAGCAGCAGCAGCAGACACATTTCTTGTCCGCAGGGGCCTCAAAGACGACACCCCTTTGGGGGCCCCACACTTGGAAGGAGAAAAGGCCAGACGCCGGGGGGCCCTGCTGCAGCGGCTGGCGCTGGCGGAGAAGCTAGCTGCTGCTGCAGCACCAAAAAGCAGCAGCAGCAGCAGCAGCAGCAGCAGCAGCAGCAGGTCGAGCGTTCCGCTCAAGGAGAGACAAAGGCTCGTAGAGAGAGAGACGGGGAGGCAGCAGTGGAGCAAAAGGCACCCAAAAGAGGTGCTGCTGCTGCTGCTGCTGCTGCTGCTGTTGCTGCTGCTGTGCGGGGAGTTTTGTTGCTGCTGCTGCTAACATTGCTCCGTTGCTGCTGCTGCTGCTGCTGCTGCTGCGTTGCGACGAGCGCCCGTTTCTTATCCCTGGCCGCCTCCCGCTTTCTTCTGCCTCACTCCCCGTTGCTGCTGCGCCTTTGCTGCTGCTGCTGCTTTGCTGCTGCTGCTGCTGCTTTGCTGCTGCTGCTGTGCTTTTGCTGCTGCTGCTGGCTCTTGCTGCTGCTGCTGCTGCTGCTGCTGCTGCTGCTGCTGCAGAGGCGCGTGCAGGTGCTGAAGGTGTGCGACATTGACTCCGTTCCAGCAGCAACTTTGAACAGAAGCTTCCTGCTGCTGCTGCTGCAGCAGCTGCCAGCAGAAGTTGTGCTGCAGCTGCTGACGCGGATTGGGGTGTATAGGGACCTCCCGTCGCAGCGGCGCTACGAGTCCTTGTCTGCTGCTTTCAGTGTCGTGGTGTCTCGCTGCCTGCAGCAGCAGCGGGTGCCAGCAGCAGCAGCAGCAGCAGCAGCAGCAGCAGCAGCAGCAGCACTCTCCCGCTGCCTCCAAACTCTCCCGCTGCCTTGGGCTGTAGACTTTGTCCGCCGCTTCGGGACTTTTTCTGCTGCTTTCCTTTCGCAGCAAATCGACAAAACTAACAAACCCAAGTTCTTCGACTTCATTCGCTACCAGCAGCACGGAGGTAGCTGCTGCTGCTGCTGCTGCTGCTGCTGCTGCTGCTGCTGCTGAGCGTGTTGCTGCTGCTGGGGGTGTGGGTTGCGTGGGCGGCAGTGGTTTTGCTGCTGCCGTTGCTGCCAGCTCTGCTGCTGCTGCAGCAGCTGCAGCTGTTGCTGCTGCTGCCGCTGGTATGGGTTGGCTGTGCTGCTGCTGCTGCTGCTGCTGCTGCAGCGGGCATGGGTGGGCTGTGCTGCTGCTGCTGCTGCTGCTGCTGCTGCCTCGGTCACCCCGCCTAGCGCAGCTTCGGCCCTCTTCCAAAGCCCCACAGCGTCCCCATTCCCGCCGCTCCCCCTGCTGCTGCCGCTGCTGCCCCTGCTGCTGCTGCTGCTGCTGCTGCTGCTGCTGCTGCTGCTGCTGCTGCGCGCAGGTGTGCGGCCGCTGCCTGCTATTGTGCGGCACCCTTACCGGCTTTCTTCTTTCGTTCAACTTCTTGGAGAATGTTCAGTTAAGAAGTACATGTACATACACTTGAAGCGGCACGGGGTGCTGCCTCCGCAGCAGCTGCTGCAGCAGCAGGAGCTGCAGCAGCAGCAGCTGCTGCAGCAGCCCCAGCTGCTGCTCTCCCCACACCCCGAGGACAACACGGCGCTGCTGCCCCCCGGGCTCGTCGCAGCAGAGAAAATGCTGCAGCAGCCAGCAGGCCCCAGCAGCAGCATCAGCAGCAAAGGCAGCAGCCTCATCGACGCAGCCAGCAGCAGCAGCAGCAGCAGCAGCAGCAGCAGCAGCAAAAGCAGCAGCAGCAGCAGAAGCAGGAAGGAGGATGAGGTCCCTCGGCCCCCTCTATACGACCTCATACTTGCAGCTGAGCACATGGGCGTTGACTACAGGCAGCTGCTGCAGGAGGGCTACAACAGCAGCAGCAGCAGCAGCAGCAGCAGCAGCAGCAGCAGCTTGCTGCTGCAGCAGCAGCTGGAAGACAGCGACGAAGATGAAGACAACACCCTTGAGGAAGACCCCCTCGCGATGCAGCGAGTGTTAGCAGTTCCCCCCAGTCAGCAGCAGCAGCAGCTAGTGCCTGTTGCTGCAGCAGATGCTGCTGCTGCTGCTGCTGCAGCAGCAGCAGAATCCGATGAGCCTCCTAAAGAAAAGCCGTGGTGGCGAACCCGCTGGGGTGTACGGGGAGCTTTCTTCCGCTACAAGGGTGCGGTGCTCCTCCTTGCTGCTGCTGCTGCTGCTGCTGCTGCTGCTGCTGCTGCTACTGTGGTTCCTGCTGCTGCTGCTGCTGCTGCTGCTCATTGCGCGCCCCCTGTGCCTCCTCTTGCTGTTCAGGCGTTGCATGTGCTCCTCCTTGCTGCTGCTGCTGCTGCTGCTGCTCATTCGCTTTCCCGCTGCTGCAGCTGCTCCATTTCCTTGCTGCTGCTGCTGCTTCCTCTACTTGCTGCAGCTGCTGCTGCTGCTGCTGCTGCTGCTCATTGTCCACCTGCTTTGCCTCCTTTTGCCCCTCAGGTGTTGCATATGCTATTAGTAAAGAAGGGCACTGGCAGGTGCTGCCAGGGGGCCCCCAGGGGGGCCCCCAGGGGGGCCCCCTGTGGGGCCCCCGGCGGCGGCACCGGCCGCATGCAACTTTGCGCATGCGGCGGCGGCAGCGGGAAGCTGCTCATTTGGGGCTTCGGGCTGAGCTGCTGCAGTCTGCTGCTGCTGCTGCTGCTGCTGCTGCTGCTGCTGCTGCTGGGGGTGCTGCTGGTGGTGGTGCTGCTGCTGGAGGCGGCGCCGCTGCAGCAGCAGCGCCAGCAGCAACAGCAGCTATGGCCCGCCGTCGCAGCTGAGAGTGGCCCGCAGCTTTTGCTGCTGCTGCTGCAGCAGCGAAACGCTGCTGCTGCTGCTGCAGCAAGACGCTGCTGCTGCTGTTGCATAGCAGCAAAACTGAAGAGATGGTGTTTGCGTTGAAACGGCTTCAAAGAGTGAAGCAGCAGCAACAGCAGCAGCTGCTGCTGCGCTGCAGTTTACAGACAAGAGACACACTGCAGCAGCAGCAGTTCTTGTGGCAGCAAAAAGGCAGCAGCAAGAAAAATAAAAAGACATTTAGCTGCAGAGAAGTGCATGCATGCAAAAAGCAAATGTGGCATTTTAGGATTTATTTATTCATTCTAGAAAGACAAACTTGCTGCTTTAAATGGATTACTTTTGTTTAACAAAAAGAAAAATTAAATTAAAAAAAGAAAAAAAAGAAAAAACGAAAAGTCGCAAAAAGAAAGAAAAAGAAGCGAGTTCTGAGGTGTACGTACAGCTGAAGCTGCACTTTAAAAAGCCCCTTTTTGCACTTTTAGAAGTTTTTAATTTAAATTAAATTTCACTTTTTGAATAATTAAATAAATCCAATTTTTTCAATTAAAGTTATGCATGCATTTGCATATTGTGTTGTGTTTATGTTGTTATATCTTCATTTAAATATTTTACTTTTTTCATTTTTATGTTTATATTTATTTAAGAATATTTATGCTTATATTTGTATTTGCATTTACACTTATATTTATTTAAACATTTATATTTATATTTATATTTATATTTATATTTATATTTATGTTTATATTTATGTTTATATTTACATTCATAATTATATTTATATTTATATTTGTGTTTGTGTTTGTGTTTATATTTATATTTATATTTATATCTATTTTTGTATTTATACTTATATGTATGTTTATATATCTATACTTATATTTGTATTTATATTTATGTTTATATTTGTATTTGTATTTATATTTGTATTTATATTTATACTTACATTTATATTTATACTTATATTTATATCTATATTTATATATATATATATATATTTATATTTATATTTATATTTATATTATTGTGCGTAAAGATAAATATTTAACTTTTCTTCTGTATGGCCAAAGTCAAATAATTTGTTTGTATTTAAATTTAAATTTAAATTTAAATTTAAATTTAAATTTAAATTCAAAGTTGTATTTAT